CAGTGCGACCCTGGCCCTGCAGGATCCCGCAAAGTCCGGCGCTCTGATTGACCCCCGTTTGCATTGACCCCCGTCTCTTGAGCCCCGACGAAAGAGGGCCGAATTGACTACCTACCAAACCACCCCAACCCAACCCAAAGACCCGGCTTTCAACCGAATTTCGGGATGGGGAGGGTACGGGTTCCATGTGTTTTTTCATTGTTCCCCGACACCCTCCCCGCCACTGGAAATGGAGAGCAAATTGAGGCCTTCGGGTTGGGTTGGAGTGGTTTGATGGGTGGTGACGAATTGGGCCCGTTTCCCACCGCGGATCTTCCAGCGCCGATGCTGCGTTTCCAAACCTCCGACGTCGTGATTTGATCAGGGCGTGGACCCGTGGAGGCCCGGGTCACACTCCCCGGGGACCGGTGTGCTGATCCCGGGTCGTACCTTGAGGGCCCCGAGGCCCGAGAAGGGCACCTGGTGCCCTTCTCGGGCCTCGGGACCCTCAAAGAACGACTCGGGATCAACAAAAACGGTCTGTCGCGATGTGCTCATGGCCCGAGGAGATCTGGGCTGTCTGAGACGAAGACAACCAGGACGAAAGTAACATCGGGTGAGGATAACGATAAATCGAGAATCTCTGAGAAAGGGCGGCTGCCTCGGCCGCGGCGGCCCTTTCAGAGCGTTCCGGAACGCTCTGAGAGCATTCCTGAACGCTCTAGACCGATACCGCTACCCCTCTGATCTCTCCTGGGGTGCGTTCTGACCAGAATTTCGAAGCGAATCCAGCGGTGGCGACGAGGGCCAGTCAGGAGGCCCAAAAAGGAGAAAGCGGGCGAAGGGTAGCAGCATGGGTACCTCTTCCTCCTCTGAGTCCTGGCCCCGTCCGACTGTAACCTGCCAGGAGTTGCACCCGAGCGCTTGGGGGCTGGACTGCGGGTGCGCGGCAGCGCTGGGGCCGCTTGCGCGCCGCGGGCGGACGCGTTGCAGGGCGCGCTGCGGGCGCCGCAGAGCGGGCGCGCCCCCGCCCAGGGGCGTCCCCGCACCGGGGTCCCGGAATTGATGGCGTCCTTCAGATAGGGAGTCCACCACGGTCTACCTAGCAGACCACCCCAACCCAGCCCGACAACCCACATTTCGGGTTGGGGGGGTACGGGCTCCATCTGTGTTTTTGTCCATGCTCCCCATGCCCTCCCCACTGGGATTGGAGGGCAAATTGGGGCCTTCGGGTTGGGTTGAGGGTGGCGAAGAAAGGACGTACGCGCTCAACCACGTAGATGTTTAAAACGCGTTGGCGCTTAGAACGAAAAACCAAACGAAACCGAACGTTTTAACAAACGTTTAGAACGAAACCGGTGCCAAACGAAAACGACACCGAAACAAACCACAACATAACAACAACGAAAAACGGGACAACATACAAAACTGGGACCAAAACCCAAGACAAACAGCGTAGTACTTGGTCCCTGCCCGACTTTTTGGCATCCTTCAGATAGGAGAGAGCGCGATCCACCGCCGCTTTACTGTGGAAAATTGCCAACCTTTTCCTCCGGAACCCGGGGGTCTCCCCCCCCCCCTCCGAAAATCCCCCCCCTGCCGGAACCCCTCCCCCCCCCCCCCCCTCCCTCCCGGCAAAACCCCCCCCGTCCCCTAACCCCTCCCCCCCCCCCCCCTCCCCCTCGAAAACCGGGGGGGGTCACTACCGGTTCGAACCCCTCCCCCCCCCCCCCCCCCTCCGGATCCGGAAAACCGGGGGGGGTCACTACCGGTTGGAACCCCCCCCCCCCCCCCCCCTCGAAAACCGGAGGGGGGTCACTACCGGTTCGACCCCCCCCCCACGCACCGCCAGCAAACGACTCCCGGTCCCTACCACCGCTCGCATCACATCCCCCACTGTTGTTCCCAGCACCACTGTCCTCACCACCACTGTCCCCACTGGTTCCACCACCGTCCCTATTGTCCCCACCAATGCCCCCACCACTGTCGCACTGTCCCCACTGTTCCCACAACTGTTCCCACCACGGTTCCACTCTCCCCACTGTCTCCACGGACCCAACCACTGCCTATCCCCATTGTCCCCACTGTCCCACTGACTCCTCCGCTGTCCCACTGAGCTGTCCCACTGTTTCCACCACTGTCCCCACTGTCCCCACCACTGTCCCCACTGTACCTCTGTCCCATTGTCCCACCGCCGTCCTCGCCACCGCCTTTACCAGTGTCTCCACCACCATTGTACCCTCCACTGTCCCAGTGTTTCCACCTCATTCCCACTGTCCCCACACCACTGTCCCCACCACCACCGTTCCCACCACTGTCCACTGTCCCCCCTGTTCCCACCATTGTCCCCACCACTGTCCCCACCACTACCGTCCCCACCACTGTCCCACTGTCCCCCCACTGTCCCCACCACTGTCCCGCTGTCCCCTCACCACTGTCCCCACCAACACCGTCCCCACCACTGTCCGCACCCCCACTCGGTTTTCGAGGGGGGGGGGGGTTCGAACCGGTAGTGACCCCCCCCCTTTTCATGATGAGCTGGGGGGGGGGGGGGGAGGGGTTCGAACCGGTAGTGACCCCCCCCCGGTTTTCCGGAGGGGGGAGGGGGGGAGGGGTTCGAACCGGTAGTGACCCCCCCCGGTTTTCCGCCAGCAGCGGTAGAACACGCTCTTTCTCAGATAGGGAGGCCACACAGGACGTGCGCCCCGAACCACGTAGATGAACACGGCCCCCCGATCCGCGAGACCAATCCCACGATACGAGCGTTCGCGCACCGACTTGCTGGCGAGCGGTCGGGACGTGTGCTCTGTGGCCTGGCACACCCAACACACACGCAACCATCGCACCACAACCGCAGACTGCCTGTCGGCAACACACACACATCACCCGATGTGCCTGGCCGCACGGAAGCAGCACAGACAAATCTCGCACAGCTAGGGCGACCACAGCGGGATGCAAGCATCATTTGCTGCGCCTCTATGCGCAGCAAGGGTGGCAAACCGGCAACACAATGCAACAATATACTACGTTCACTATGCACGATGCCATGCGGGCAATCGCTGCACATGGGCTGGATCCTGAATGCCAGCTGCCAGAAACCCACCCTCACGCTTGCGCGACCACTGCGCGTGTTGCTTGCGTGCGCGCCGAGCGTCAATCACAATACCCCGGGCACGCCATGACCAAGACGCCTCGAACTGCGGAGAAGGAGGGAGCATAAGCAGCATCGCTGTCCAGCATCAGCATCGGCTCTAGCCGCGGTGAACGCAATGACTCCACACACTGACTGACCTCACGCCTGGCGGCAGAACTCCTCACTCAAAGTGGCTGTCTCCCAATCCTGGTGAGCAGGGCTTGGATCCCTCATCGCAAGCCGATCCCTTGGACAATCGAGCTGGCTTCTCTCTTATACCCTGCTGCCCGCGATTGGCGATTAACCGAAGCAGCTTGGCCAGTATGTCCTCACGTCATTAGTGGCAGTGTCACCCAAGTGGCTCACAGAACAAACACTCATGCGAACAATATAATCGAACCAACAATAAAGATCAATACGCGCACTGGCCTCCGAGAAGATCTGGCTCTTCCCCCACGGACACCCACGGGCACAATGGAAATGTCCTACGATCAACTCTCCCAGGACAAAACGCTGGGCTGTGATTGCAGCTGCGCTGCGGGCCGCAACTACAAGGCACCAGGTGATCGCAAACGGAAGCTCTACATCTTATGCGCACCACAAGAAATCATACCTCGACCTTCCTTCTTGTAGGCCCTCCTGTTCGTCCTCATTCACTGGCTCATTCCCCCCAACTTCTCAAACTGTTGCCCTTCCTTCGCCTCTCTGCTAGAAAGACAACAGATCTTCAACAACGCGTGCAATCCTGCAGATTCAATCGGGCTGTGAACCGGAAAACAGATCGCTGATGAAGGACCTCCCTCCCCATACAAACACTTTCTGGCTAAACAGTGGTCATTGACAAGAACTCTGCAAGCAAATCCTGCCCCCATGAGCTCAACATTGGATCGGATGTCGACTTCCTACAACCCAGTATCCTGCTCCTTCGCCTGCCTCCCGCCCTCCCTCACTCCCTCCACCTCCCTCCGTCCCCAACCTTCAAGACCTCTTCGCCGCCATCCCTCCTCGAACCTAATCTATCATCCCTCGTTCCTCTCACCGCTTTCCGCACGCCACGCTCCGGTGCCCATTCTGACACCTGCCCACCCAGCCCTTGGGTCGTGTTTTTGGGCTCTCTCCTCCTTCTTCATCCTCCCTTCTCCATGGTACATGCTCCCTCTCCTCCATCATCCCTCCTCCATCAGGTCTTTGTCCATCCTCCCTCCTTCTTTTTCCTCCTCGGCCGTCCTTGTTCCCTCCTTCCTCCTCTCTCCTCCATCCCGCCTCCTACCTCCTCCTTGCTCCCTCCTCCCTCATGCATCCTGCCCGCTCCAGCTCCCTCCTCCCTTCATCCCTCCACCCTCCCTCCCGCCTCCGCGCCCCTGCCTCCTCCAGTCCTCGATCTGTGCTCTGCCCCTCTTCACCCGAAACGTTTCGCTGTAGGAGAGAAAGAAAAGGTAATAACCATTCTCTAGATGGGGTGCTTACCAAGGAGGGGGGATTGACCTTCGGACAGAGCTTGCCCATCCCTCTCCCTCCCGTTCTCCTCCTCCTTCTCCTCATCCTCCCCCTCCTCCTCCTCCTTCTCCTCCAACACCCGCTCCACCCGTTCCGACAGAACGTGCCCAACCCCTCCCCGCGGATCCACGCAGGGGGGCGATCGTTGGCCCGTTAAGAGTGAACTTCCAGAAGACGGCGCTGACTTCTTGGATCGGCGCTGACATCCCTCCCTGGCGCGCGGAGCGCGCCAGAGGCGGCGCCAGGGGGACCCGCCACCGATCCAAGGAATTCGCACGAACATCCGAAACTTGATTCTTCCGTCGGCATCCGAACATCCGAGCATCCGACAATTCGCGCAAACATCCGAAAATCCGTGCGAACATCAGAAACATCATGTTCATGCAGTGGTGGCTTCTTTCTGCGTCCGCCGCTGTCGCCTCGGCAAACCCTGCCCACGGCGTCGGTGCCGGAGCCGAGATGCTCAGGCTGCGGCTGCGCTTACTTGCTGAGGCCGAGGAAGATACCGCGCTGGCCAGCCCTCCTCGGTGCATGCGATCATGAACCACATGAGAATTATCGTTAAGGGTTTAACAAATTCTGCTGTCCATCGACTCGCGCTGACCTTTCACGATTTGCTCCATATCCTTATCGATTGCGTAGATATCGTGGATTTGCTCAGAGTCATATGGATGTACCTGAATTCATGCGGCTTGATCCCAGCAAAACCATTGGATCTAAATGCCAAGCCTTCGTGGACATCATCATCACCAGCATAAGAACGACTGCACGGCGAGCACCCTGACACGGGTCATGACCAATCAAGGTTCACATCGAGATCGCCCTCCATTCGTCCATCTGTCAGTGGTGGAGGATTGCTGTTCTTGGTCGGAGACGTGACCCCCTCGACGTGGGAAAAACGAGCCAAGATCGGCTGAGGCATGGACACCCCGACGCTCTTGCACACCACTCTGCGGTATGTCTGCCCAAGCGCGGTGTCCTGTCTGATCGTGGTGTCCTAATGCGGTGTCTCAGACCCGTGTCTTAACGTGGTGTCTGCATCTAGGCATCGCCAACGGGGTCGGATGATTGTACTGCATCGCCGAAACATCGTCGATGCATCGGCGACGTCGGCGATGCATCGGCGCCGTCTGCGTGGAGAATCCCAGGCTTTACATCGAGCCGCCTCGCCGATGCATCGGAGATGCGGCGCGATCCTCGGACTCCATTTGCTCGGACCCTACTCGAGCAACACCATTGACACGGGTCTTTCGGGAGAAAACATCATTAGCGACATCACGCCACGGCTTACGCGGGCCGCCAGCGTGGCACGTCGCGTTGAGAAGAGGGCGCTTACGCGCGACGTCATGCGGGAAGCTTACGCGCGAAGGTCCGCGCCGCCGACCCCGTTTCCTTCCTTCGCTGATTTGGGGGGCCTGGGCCAATACACACGTCGTATTTGTTCAAAACTGGGACCCAAAAAAAAATCCCGACCGTGCCGGCTTGCCATCCCAAGGCGTTTTTGACGGTCGCGGGGCCGGGTGAGGGCCCCAAATGCAGAAAACAGCAACAGAAACGCCTGCCGCGTTTTTCTCACGACGCAAGCATATCTAAAGGGAAGTAGGGACACACACAAATAAATACACACAAATACACAGATTCCCAATATGTTTGAATTCTTTCTGGATTTTCGTCTTCCCCCCCACTTCCCATCTTTTCCTACCTTTTCCTGGGGATCGACGATTAATAGTGTCTGTGCATATCATGTCTGGGTGATCCCCCCTCTTGATGTGGGAGACGTAAGACTCGGGTCCGGGGGACTCGAGTGAGCCTGACGGAGCCGTCAGGAAACTGACGAGACCTCCGCTGAACTCTGACGCAAGCTCCTGCTGCAAACATCCCAAGAAAACTATGCCGTCGAAGTTCGGGATGTCTCCCCCCTTGATAGGAACGCGGAGTAGCGACAGCACGACCACCAGGGACCGACAGTGGGAGGAGAAAAGGGGGTCCCCTGGTGGTGTAGCCAGCCCCCCTCTCGCTCGAGACATCCCATATCCCCAGCTCGGGGAGGCATCGTGGGCCTCCTCGCTGGAGCTGGCCCCCCGTGTGGAGGTATGTGGAGGTATCGCTTCTCCTTCCCATCGATGAACTGACCCAGAACCTCCCCTGAGATCAGACGTTGCGACAAAAATGCACGATTGCTAAACAAACATGACGACCAAAACCCTGGACCCCATCATTCTGCTGCATGTTTCGCGCCGGATCGATCAGTGATGGCCCCGGGGCCCGACACCTCGCGAAAGCGCACGGCGTGGCCAAAATTGTACAACGCGGATCTCAAAAAACTGGCCTCGAACCTCGAACCTCGAACCCTCGCTCCTCAATCCTCGATCCTCCTTCCCCGTGCCTTGAGCGAAGCCAGACTCACCGCTCCACGAGCCCACTTGGCTTCGTGACCATCGACCCCTAGCGTCAAAAAAAAGCATGGCTGCCTATGAGCTGGTCAACGCGTCTTCCTCTGAATCAGAACAACAATCAACGTGTCTTCCTCTGGATCAAAACTTGCATACCGTCTAGGAGCAGCAGCGCGGCCAGGCCGCTCACAGAGAACTGTGGGAGACGCGTGCGAGAGCCACGCTCACAGAGTGTGGGCGCTGAGGCCAGGAGTGCGATGGTACAGTCTGGCGTCACCGCCCGCCAGTTCTAGCTACTTGTCTACCGAGATTTGCAAACTCTCTGCCGAGTCATTGGTGATGACGAGCCACGTCTGCGTCGCAGAGCGGGGGGTGGGGGCTGGAAAGGGCATGCCAACCCTCGACAAAAGCCCTGCCCCGATTCGTGACGGCGACGACCACTGGAGGCGAGAGCTCAGACATGGCCCTCCTCCTCCTACTCCTCTTCCTCCTCCTCCTCCTGTCCCTCCTCCTCCTCCTCCTCCTCCCTCCTCCCCCTCCTAGTAGGCGCGCTCCTCCTCCTCCTCCTCCTCCTCCTCTTCCTCCTCCTCCCATCCTCCTCCTCCTCCCTCTCCTCCTCCTCCTCCTCCTCCTCCTCCTCCTCCTCCTCCTCCTCCTCCTCCTCCTCCTCCTCCTCCTCCTCCTCCTCCTCCTCCTCCTCCTCCCCCTCTCCCTCCTCCCCCTCCTAATAGGCGCGTTTTTTTCCTTCGGCCTTCGGGGGCCCTCGCTGGGCCCGCCAAGACCATCGGAAACCGATCCGGGATTGAAAGCTGGCCCCAGGGAAGGGGTCGGGGCTCCCAGGGACCACGGCTTGAAACAAAACTCATGATGTCGCGTGTCTGGGAGCACCACCCCGCTCCTCTCTTGATGAACCATAGAAGTACCTCTGAACTTTTGGGAAGAGGCCTAAGTTTGGAAGGCCAAAACATTGGGAAAATGGGTCTTCCTGGCAGATGTATCAGACCAAGCCGCCCAGATTCACTATATCTGATGCGAAGACGGGGACCCAAGTGAGGCCACGTCTTCATCGTGTTATTAGGGTTAGGGGTTCTTTTGTTCTCTATGATATGTTCCTCATCCTCCTCCTTCCCACTCTTGTACCCAGGCAATCGGGGATCTGCTGACCCGGGTCAATCAGACCCCCGTCAGCAGGAAACCGAACAATTGCAATGCAGGAAAAAACAACTGCAACGCAGGGCTTCGCAAATCCGGGTCAGCCAATATGCGCGGCCGCCTCGGCCACGAGCGGCTCGCTAACCCGGGTCAGCCAGAGGGGGTCTTCGCAGGATCCTGCAGGATCTCGTGCCCTGGCTGACCCCCGTTTGCGTTGACCCCCGTCTGTCGCCCGGCTTGCCCGAGCGCGCGTGCGGACTGCCCCTGCCGCGCTGCGACATGAGAAGTGCCTGGGGGCACGGGCCCCAACCTCCGACGCCATAGGACTCGTACCATCTGGGCGTGCTCCTTGGGCGCCAGATCCACGGCTCGGGGTGCGCGCCCCCCGAAACGCAACCAAATCCGCCCAAACTGGGCACGCGCTGACATGGATTGACTCACGGAAATGCGTGGAGCTGGCGCATGGGAGTTAAATCCGCGGATCGGGGAGCGCGCCCCCTGAAACGCAGCCAACGCCGCCCAAATCGGAAAACGCGCTGACGAAGATTAGGGTATCCAGGGCTCGCCATTGCGGGCCCCAGGGGGCCCAAAATAAGTCCAGGGCGGAGAATTGGCCCCTGAGAATCTCGAGAAGGGGTCGGGACCTCTGGGGTCATGTACCGAAGAAATGATATCGTTATGTCGGGCATGCCCTCCCTACGGGCGGCGGACAAAAAAAATATTAGAAAAACACTCCAAAATAGTCAAACAATTGTAGAAACATCGTCCCCAGACTATGTTTTAACTATTTTGGAATGCTCCTCCTGTAGAGGGACAGGCCCGACTTACAAATGATGTCGTCGGGTGTCTGGGACGGCGGCTCTCCAGCCCGGCCCAAGTCCGCTCAAAAACCAGCCCTGAAACCCTCCAGGGCGCATCCTTGGCAGTTTTTCCAAAGCGAATCGAATCATGGTGACCCTCCTCCTCCTCCTCCTCCTTTTCCGTCTTCTCCTTCTCAGGAGCCTCTGGAACTCTGGGAGGCCCGAGGGGGAACGAGAAAACAACGTCGGGGAGTGCCCAGAAAGGACGAAAAGAGCCTGGGAAGCCCTCCTCTCCAGACGTGCGATGTCCTGACTTGTTTTACCAAATCTCGACGCCCCGCTGGTGCAAACAGGCCCCAGACGGGGCGGGGCTCGGGCAGGCCGCCCGTCCTGGTGCGCTGGGTGAATGCCGTCTCCGACTCGAGGATGTCCAGGGCCTGCGGGGCTCCTCCGCCTACCCTTGGCAGCGCGCACAAGCTCTGAGATCCTGTCGTCTCAATCTGTTTTTCTCGGGGGCGTACAAGAGGGGGGGGCGTCCGAGAGAAGCGGTATCACCCCCCCCCCGGCGATAACGCCAGCATCAGATATGATACAATAACTGTTTTCGGCGGCGCGCTCCTGGTGATATCGCTAGCACAAGAAAGAACACAACCAAACAACAAATGAGTAATACATTGAATTTGAGAGACTTCACAGGTCCCTCATAAGAAATCCACCGGCCGCGGCGGTCGACGTTGCAGTGCCTTGAGCAAGGATATTTAACAGCATCGTGAAAGGAATGTCAAAGGAGCCCCAGCTTTGTCAGAAAAGAGCTCGATTCGAAGCTGACGCAACTCTCCGTCACACAATTTCGGGTAGGATACCCAAACTCTGAGCGCCTGGCGAGTGAATCTCCTCGGATCCACAGGAATCGGGGGCGCGCAAACATGGATTAGCGATCCATGGATTTGGCGCGCGGTCGCCAAATCCATGGACCGGGGGAGGTGCCCTCCCCAACATGCGGCCGGTGCCGCCTCGCTCGGCGGCGGAAATCCGCGATTTCCCACGGACACGGGACCCGTCGCTAATCCACGCCCCCTTGATTCGTGTTTGCGATCGCCTGATCTGAGCGCCTGGCGAGGGAATCTCCTCGGATCCACAGGAAGCCCGTCACTGGAGCCGCCCTCGTGCTCCTCCCTGCCCCTCCAGAGGATCTTGCTCTGCGGGCCCCTGCGGGGCATATCGCTTCCGCTCCTGCCCCGATGTCGGGAGCTGTATCACTTCGTCTGGTGACGGGGGGGTACTGATTGCTCCCCAAGGCTACAAACTCATGGCACGAGGCATGTGCGCGGCCCAGGGGGAGACCACGGAACATATTGAAGGAAGAGGGGGCCCTGAAATCAGGGGAGATGTCATGGCCCCGGCCATGACATCCACCTCCCCCTAAAACATCACCCCTTCTGAGCCGCCCGGGATGTCTCGCCCCGGGCGTTTTCGACAAATTTCCGATCCCAGGACTAGCACACATCGATCTGGCTCGGAACATGTCGCAGAAAGATGAGGTCCAAGGGCTCTGGTCGTGTTCTCAATACGATGCTGCAATGTTTCCGGGAAGTCGGATCTCAGTGTGGGGGTCCACCATCGGGGGGGGACTGACGCCAGGGGGCGGCATGCTGCGAAAGCGGGGGGGGGCTTCTCTCACAAGCCCTCCTCGGGGCCTTCTCTGAGAAGCCCCCTGCCTTCCTTATAGCCCCCCCGCCTTTTTAGCAGGTCTCCCACATGGGGCCCGAGTCAACGGGGACGGAAGATCGCGCCGATGTCGCCGATGCTTCGACGATGCATCGGCGACGTCGCCGCCGTCGCCTCCTCAGCGTTTTTGTTGGGGCGATCCGGGGGCGCCCCCCGTAACGGCTGGAAATCGAGCGCGTTCAAGTGAGACGGTCGCAAATCATGGCCTGAGGAGTGGCCCAGGGTGGGGGGGCAAGGGACTTGTGGAAACAAGGGGAAAACGCCTCGCGGACCTCTGCGGGCCTCTGCGGGGGATCTCGCTTCCAACCTGGCCCCAGCGCCAGAGGCGTTATAATTTCCTCTTGTGAAAGGGGGGGGTACTGATTGCCTCCTCCTAAGGTTAGTAACTCATGGAGCGGTAGACCAGGGGAAAAATTTAAAGAAGACGGGGCCATGACATCTGGGGATCTGGCATTGCCCCGGTCATGATATCTCCCGTCCTGTCTTGGCCGTCTCCGAAGGGCGGCTCGGATGGCTGGCTGGGACGGGCCCCGGAAGTGTCCGTTGGCACGCTGCGAGCGAGCAGCTGTCAGGGGGCAGGACGGCGTGGGGGTGCTCTCCAAGAGGCGGAGACGGCGTGGGGGACGCCTATCGCGAATAACTTCGCGTTCCAGAGGCGGACCCTCGTATCATCCCTCCCAAACTGTCCCGCACGCGCGAAACAACATGCGAATATGGCTATTTGGTCCCACTGCCTACGGACCCAACAAACAACGTATTCTTTTTTTCCTCAGCATGCAACGAAACCGTGCCAACCATCGCGCCAACGTCGATGTCACTGTTGACGCCACATCCCCGTCCTTTGCACCCCCTCTCATACGAAGCAAAACCTGGCAGGTCGGCGCAGGAACGACTAAGGGCTATTTGACCAGATCAATTGGCCACTAACGTGAACTATGCCGAATCAAACCTGGGAAGTACACTGGACACAAGGTCAGGTCGAGTTGAACGGGACATGGCCATATTCAGCGGGAGTGTGCTGAGTAGGATAAGTTGTTCGACCACAAGCATACCAACATCGATGCTGATCTGCTGGGTTGAAGCCCCAGGGAGTTGCATTCGAACTTTTCGACCCAAGCGGCTGCGCATGGCCTCCTTCAAGCCTTGGATCTCCGCCTCGCGCCTCCTTTTGCGTTCCTCGTACGTCTCCGGCTTGGCGATGCAGCGCTCCTGGGGGGATCGAATTACAAAACACGCCCAACGAGGCCGCAACACTTGTCGCGCATACTCAGGGCAAACATTTTGTCAGCTTATGATCCACCAAAACAGAAAGAACCAAGCGGGCACGCGATTGAACAAGTGGTTTCCCTGCTCGGGCGAATCGTGGGGCGGGGGGGGCGCCCGCCAGATGGGAACACACCACAGCGGCGCCGGTGATCAGCGCGGACACCCAGCCGCCAGCGGGAGGGCGACAGGGGCAGCATCGCCGCCACTCCAGAGAGGTGATCGAGCAAGAATCGTCAAGACTGGGGATGGAGAGGAGGAAACCGGAGGGAAAGGTGACAGAAGCAAGGGCCGTCGCCGCCGCTGCCGCCGCCGCCCCACCGCTGCAGCCGCCGCCGCGTCGGAAGATACTCCGAAGCAACGTCCTCGCTTCCTGAGTCAAGCCTAAGATTTCAAATCCTCGTCAAGCCCGCGACATGGGCCTACTAGCTAGCTGATTAGTGCGCTCTCGTGCTTCTCCTCAATCCTCTCCTCCACCCCTTTTTCCGTTTCGACATTTTTCCTGAAGTCAAGGCTCCAGCTCCCGGTCGTGTCTTTGAGCTGCTGCCAGGCAGCCATGCCAAAACAAATAAGCTAGGCAGCCACGCAACGAGGCTTGGCGCGCCGTGGGCGTGGAATTGTCCAAACCTGACAGCAAATTTTACCCTAACCGACAGCGGCCGCTGTTGGGCAGGCGGCTTGACGCATTAACCTGACAACGTCCGCGGCGACACCCACCCGCAACGAGCCCTCGAGAGATGCACGCTCACAAACCCAGTGCAACGAACAGCGCGCACTGCCCGGCCCGTGCATGCCGTCTGTCCTCGTCCGCGGTGCGGTCGCACGCCGAACCCAGCCGCACGTGATTCAAAAGTGAGTGTCGCGGCCCGCGTGGTCCACTCATCAGCGCTGGGGGGAGGTGTTTGTGAATCACCAGCTGAAATCAGGTCAACTCCGGGATGTCAGCTCAGCCAGGTCTACGCGGGGCTGGCAATTACATGGGCAGAAAAGGCTGACGAGTGTCTGGTGGGCAGAAGGTCTTTCACCCGCAGCGCTGCGCGCCACGATTGCACACGCGTTTCCTGACAGTTAATTATGGCAATTTCCAGATTTGTGACAGAGCGATCTCCACGGCCTTCAGTGCGAAAAATGCCTTGGGGGGTCCCAGAAACCGACCCCCTCCCTTAAAATCCTGAGGCAGTCAGGTCTCAACAAGCATTGTGAGGATTTGCTTGTGCCTCGTAGGAAATGAGCAATAATCGTTTCTGGACGCACGCGCCACGACGACTCAAGCGCGCGCGGGCACGCGAGCGAAGGCACGTGCGTCGCCAAGGGGAAAACCTGCGTGGCGCGCCACCCTCCCTCGCGCACATACGGCTCGCTTACTCCGCCGGAAACTTTTGAAATCCACTCAGGATTCAATGCTGAAGCTGTAGCCTGAAAATGCACCTGGGGCAGCCCCGAAGCCAGCCCCCCCACCGCTGGGCGGCAAAGGCCGTTGCGTAGGCCTGGCTGGGCGGGGCGGGCTTCGCCCTCTAAGGCACGACGGCTTGGGTCTCTAGGGAGGACGACCGGACCGCTGAGCATCGTCCTTCCGAACCCCCATCCCCACCGGCGTGGCCTGGGCCCCACTGGCCGATTTACCCCCCCAGACGGGGATATAGGCCGTCCCCTTTCGTGGGGGTCTCGAAGGGGATGAGGATGGGCTCGCTACTCACTACTCGCTACTCACTTCTCACTACTGACTACTCACGACCCACTACTCACTACCAACGACTCGATACCCATATTACTCACTACTCCCTACTCCCTGCACGCTACTCACTACTCACTATTCACTACTCACTACCCCCTACTCATTACTCACTACTCACTAAACACAACTCATTGCCAACTACCCACTAATCACAAATCATTACCCACTACCCACTAACCACTATCCACTACTCACTACTCACACTTCACTACTCACTACACATTGCCCACAACTCACTATTCACTATCCACTACTCGCTACTCCTTACACAGTACTCACTACTCACTACTCGCTACTCCCAACGCCCAACTCGCTACCCAATACGCACTATTCACTACCCACTACGCAGCACTCAGTACGCTCCCACTACTCACTACTCACTACTCCCCACTCCCTACTCACTACCCCCCCAACGCACTACTCACTACGCACTACCCAGTACTCAGTGCTCACTACTCACCAAAACTACTCACTACCCACTACTCACTACTCACTGAGCACTACTCACTACCCACTAACCACGGTCCACTACTTACTACTGAGTACTCACAGTTCACTACTCACTACGCATTGCCCACAACTCACTACTCACTATCATCTACTCGCAACGCAATACGAAATATTCACTACCCACTGCGCACTACTCGCTACTCACTACTCACTACTCCCTACTCACTAGCCACTAGTCGCAAGTCGCTACTCACTACTCACTACTCACTACTCACAAAGTTCTACTCGCAACTCCCTTCTTACGACCCACTACTCAATACCCACTTCTCGCTTCTCACCACTCACTACTCCCAACTCACTACTCAATACGCACTACTCACTACTTACTACTCGCTACTCCCTACCCGCTACGCACTACTCCCTACTCACTCCTGACTCCTGACTAGTCCCTCCTCACTTCCCACTGCTCACAAGGCCCTTCTCGCGACCCACTACCTCCCTATTCGCTACTCGCTATTCGCTACGCGCTACTCACCACTCACTACTCACTACTCTCTACTCACAGCGCACTACTCACGACTCATTTCTCGCTATTCGCTACTGTCTACTCGCTCATCCCCACTCCCTGCTTACTACTCACTATGCACAACTCCCTACACACGACCCACTCCTTACTATTCACTACCCAGAATTCCTTATTTTCTACTTCTTTCCCTCTACTCACTACCCACTACTCACTATTACAAATCTCTACGCACTACTCACTAGTACCACTACTCATTACCGAACTTCTCACTACTCACTACTCACTGCGCCCTACTCACCATCAAGTACCCACTACTCACCAATCGCTACTCAAAACACTCTACTCTCTACTCACTACCCGAGAGGCCCCCTCCCCAGCCCCCTGTTCGGCGCAAAGGGGGGGAGAGGGGGGGGGGTCGAACCCCCCCCCTTTCCGGTGCCAAGGGGGGGAAGGGGAGGAGGGGTCCAGATCCCCCGCCCTTCAAGGGGGGGAGGGGAGGGGGGGGGTCGAAAATCACACCCCCCTTTCAAGGGGGAGAGGGAGGGGGGTTCTTCGAGCACCCCCACCCTTTTGCGTATTGAGGGCTATCCACTGGCGCGCTTTCCTTAAACACCGTAGCTTACACAACACAGCTAACACAGCATTGCTTACACCACATAACTCACACATATATTGCACAACAGAGCTTGCACCGCACAGCTATCACCACATAACTTAGACAACATAATTTACACCATATACCTGGAAGAGCATGGCTTACACAACATAGCTTTCACCACACAGCTCACACCACATAACTTCCATACACCTCCACAATGCCATTAACTCACTGTTTGTGGTCAACGTTTTCTTGCGACAAGATGCGAAACATTGACCTTGCAGGTCCACCGCGTGTCATGTGTACAAGGGGTCGTGCCAGGGCCGGATGGGGTGGATCACCGAAGGGAGTGATGTCACAGGTAGGATGGGCATAAGGTTCATAACACACATGGGAACATATGGGATCATGCCGGTAGTGTATCTGGTCCAGTGGGGCTCACAAGGTCTAGAGATCGTCCTTAAGGACTCGGATTATAGTCCAGCTTGTTGCGGAACGCGATCAGAACCCATACTCCCACATACATCGTGAACCTGTACTCCTGACCCCGTCGTGTTAGAACAGTCTCATGGTGTCCCAAAAAAGCGGCGGATCTACTCTTCTCAGAAAGGGTCCCGCCTCGCAGAACCGTTAGACCTGGCGACTGCCCCCAAAAAATATGAGGCCCTGATTTCACACGACGGATGCGATCAATCGCGACCACCATCTGGAATCTGGAAGCAACATCGTGGCCAGCGACGCTTCTACCGCTCTATCTGAGGTTCCCAGGGTCGAGTGCGTCTGCACTTCTCGTGGCGCATTTCGATTTCCGTGCTCCGTAGACCGCCCGATTCCCACACCTACGGGAACTGCCACGAATGCTTACCCGTTTTTGAAGCTCGCGCCTGTGCCAATCATGTGCGGCGCAGATGCATCAACGAGTACTGTTGCGCACGCTTCCCGGGCACACGCTGGCATGGAGCAGGGATCTGTGGATCCGGCGCGTTGGCCAATGCCGCCTGAGTTGGCGAAGGAGCGCGCCGCTTGTGTGGCAGCGGGATCGGTCGCCAGTCCACGCGCCTTGCAGTCGAGACGTGGCCACGGCAGCGTGGGTCAACAGAAGAGCCCCCGCTGAGAAGGCCCAAGGCCCCGCCTGGACATGCCCGGCAGGAAGAGCACTCCAGGGTCCAAAGCCCGTGCCCGAGCACGAATCGAGTAGGAGATCGGCTACAGAGTCGACCTACCCCAAATAAAGGATTCGTGGTCGATTCTACGAGAAATGCGTCGAATACTCCGTAGATCTACGGAGCATTCCGCGCAACTTGAACAGACTCGAGGGAAAATCTATTCTGGCGTACATCAATTCTGTAATCGATCCCCGACTCGAACGAGGAGCAGAAGGGCACCCCTCCAAAGAAAAGGGTTGCTCTTGACCCTCGTGCGGGCGGGCCTGCAATCCAGGTTTGATGGACGCACCAATTATCTAGGACAAATGATGCCCGGGGAAACTCCAGTTTGGGCCTCCGAGGCGCGAATGAGTGCTTCAAGACGAAGCCAGGACGAGGATAACATCGGAAGAGGATAAATCGAGAATCTCTGAGAACCGGCGGCTCTGGAGGATGTCTCGGGCGCCGCGGCCTCCTCAGAGCGTTCCTGAACGCCCTGGAACGGCACGGATTTATCCTCGTCCTAGCCCAGCCGGATAGTTCCCGCTGATTCCCCCAATCCTGATGATTCGGGAGGTTGGACGCCCGAATCATCTGGGACAACTGGGTCTGGGGTATTTCCGGTCTGGGACTGCGAGGCACGAACCTGGAGTCATCCCTGACCGCTCCCAGCCCTGACGATTCGTGGCTCTGACGCCAAGCACGAAGAGCAGAAGGGTACCCACGGCCACGGCGAAAGACTCGGGCCCTCGGGCAGTCCCCGGGCGGCCCCCTGCGCTGGCACGGCGATTCGCAAGCCAAATGCCGCCGCGGCGAGGGCGAACTAATGAACCAAATCCAAGCCGCCCCGATACGCAGCGCGCAACCCGTAGCGCGTTGACACGAAACTCAGCACGTAGACTGAAAACGTACGTATGGCGCGACACGTTAGCCAAAACGTGGGCCAACACGAATCCAGCCAAAACGCATGATGTGAACACGGACGTTTTGAGCACGGTGCGTGTTGCGTTTCAGAAGGGGGTATCAGGGCAGCCAAGAACCAGACCATTCATTGTCAAGCGCATAATGATTGGCGGCGTGGACCCTTTCCATGCGGTCTGTCTTCGATCTGGAAGTCGCTGGCGGGAGCGCAGAGCTCTTGCCTATCCTGACCACGCGGGAGGGCCCAGGCAGCTTGCAGAGGCAATGGACGGCCTTGATCTTGGAGTAATACTCGAGGACGGCCTCCAGTTCGGTGTTCGTCGTCTCACGGTCGGAGACCAACTCCGATAATTCCTTGTCCAAGCCCTTGAACTCCTCCAGCCACGGAACGTACAGAAATAGCACTTCCATCCCCATACCTCTGACGTCGTGACTTCGTCAATTCGGGGCCCCTGGACCCCTCGATCCCTTCGACTGCTTCTTCGTCCAAGGTATTGTTGTTGATAGTTACGGGGCCCGAGGCGGCTTCACAGAAACCGAGCATTGAGAAAAACACGCCTCCGACCAAGATGCAAGGGCAACTATGTTCGCGCTTCGCGCTTCGCGAAGCGCGGATGGCCACGTGCTCTCGCGCCGCCCCCCCCCAGAGAGGAAGATGAGGATGAGAAATCGCGAGCCACGAACCGCGAATAGCTTCGCGCCCTCGTGGCGGCCATTGAACATGCCGAGGGGGTTCCAGCCGTGGCGACGAGAAGCCCCCTGGAGGCAAGCCCCAACAAGGTGCAAAAACATCTGACGGGCCGCCGTGCGCGGGCGGTCCGCCCCTCCTGCGTCGGCGGAAAATGAAAGAACGACGGCGACGTTAAATCGGGCTCGAGGAGACACAAACATCGGCACACATTCTAATAACCCCAATATGTGCATTACTTCCTGGATGTTTACCTTCCCCTCCACGTCTCCTATGTGTCATATTTGCACACGCATGCATACACATGCTAATCCGTGTGAGCCCCAATGTGCGAATGTGTGTGCGTTATTCGCAACCCAATGTGTGCGAACTACGTGGCGCAATGCATTTAGGTTGTGCAATATGTGTCGTGCAAGCTGTATGGTGCAAGCCATGTGGTGCAACACATGTTGTGCATCACGTACAAAGCAACATCTATTGTGCAATCTACGTGGTGCAATTTACCAAATTGACTATAAATTGCACAAGCTATGTGATGCAGCCTGCGTGTGCCATATATATATGTATATATATATATATGTTTATATGTAACGATGGGTTGTGTATTCTCTGTGGTGCACTCCACGTTGTAGAGGCCATGTGGTACAATATGCGCGGTTCAATAGATGGTGCGCAAGCTACGTGGTGCACTCTAGGTGGTGCAATATCGGTTGTGAAACCTACGTTGTCCACTGTACAAAATGCAACGTATGTGGTGTACTTCCGCCTGCCGAATCTGAACAGCTCCACTGCTCGCGCTGTCGTCCCACCCACCCACCTGCAAATTGGTTTGCGAAAGCCATGCGGCGGTACTTGCGATGACTGCTCGGCGCTGGCTGGCGCAAAGCCGCAGTCGCGCTAGCGCGCATGTTCGCGCGCGAAGCGGCCAAATACTTTGGCGCGACCGACGGGGCCGCAGTAACGCTGACCTCTGGGCATCTCCTAAGAGGCAATTCAATGCGAGTCGGCGGCTCGGGCGGGCGCAGTATCATTGACGCCGACAACGGTACACACGATGATGATAGTAGCGGTGTTGGTGGCGATGATGACAACGACGGCGGCAAGGCCAGTGACTGCGTCGATGCTGATCACGGCGTCGACGATGACGGCGTCCTCGCGTCGGTGAGGAATTTTGTGGCCGGAGTCCGGCATGCGGTCAACGCGCGAGTGTGCCCCGCATTGTATTATTTTGACACGGATCGTGCCCTCCCAGCGCGCGGGCAAAACGCGTTCGAATGATTTCGACATGCGGCGCGCGAAGCCCGCTAGGCAAATATTAATGAGCATGTGACCACGAGCGCAAGCATGCTTGAAAATTGTTGTTGCCAAGCCATGTGTTTTCAATATGTCTTCCGATGCTGAATTCCCGATGGAAACTATAGTTGCTTTGAAGGATGTCAACATGCGCGCGTGTGCACTTCGTCACGTTTGTTTGCAAAAGGGTTTCTGCGACAGCACGCGCGCAAAGGGCGTTCAAACGATTCCGCCTCGCGCGCAAAGCACGCTTGGTCGTATTTGACGAAAACGCGAAAAAAACAAAAAAAAAAAAAAAAAAAAAATCGGAAGAATCTGAAAGAGTGCGAGCGCCGGCTTTTTTACGTGGCGAAACCATTGGTTTTTTTGTTAAACAAGTTTTCGTGGCACTAGATTAGGGAGTCCTCGCAACACTTCGGGTTTTTTGGGGAACATCCGGGCATGCGCGCGGACCGACGCGCGCGCGCACTTCGTCCCACGCTTTGCAAAAGATTTGAAAACTGCTAATTTTTGTTAAACGACCGCGCGCACAATATGTTTTGGAACCTGAAGGGGGGGGGGCGATACCGGTCTGGCTGGAACGGTCTGAGCGGGATGGACGATGAGGTAGACTGATATGATAATTGCAGTACGCGAAAAGGGCATTGTTAACTCCAGCAGGGGAGGAGGAGATCCTGTTCCCCTTCTTGAACAGAGAACACATGTGGCGCGACATCCGTTGTGCACCCTATGCGGTGCACTCTATGTTGTGCAACCCATGTGGGGTAATCTTTGTTTTGCAAGTAATTTCTGTTGCAAAAAAATTCTGCTCGCAAAGAGTCGTCCACTCCACCGCTCGCGCAAACATCCCACCCACCCACGGCGATGACGGCGCTGATGCCGATCACGCTGGCGACGATGACGGCGTCCTCGCGTCCGTGATGAATGTTTTGGAAGGAGTTTGACATGCACGCGGCAGACGCGAGAGAGTGGCCCGCCTGGTATTATTTGAAACGGATCGTGCCACCCCAGCACGCGCGCAAGGGCGTGCGAACGATTTCGACATGCGCGCGCGCGAAGCCAGTTTGGTAGCATGTTCTGGAAATGTTGAAACACGTGTGATTTTCTTGAGAATTCGCAAGAGTGCGCGCGCACGCTGTTGTTGGAAATCCGTGGTGCGAAAATGTTGTTTAACGCTTTTTGGATGCTCGGATTTGGAATCCTTCCGAAACCAAAAAAGTGTTTGAGGGATTTCGGCATGCGCGCGCGACCGCGCGCGCGTGCACTTCGTCCAATTGTTTGCAAGGGATTCTCGCGACGGCACGAGCGCAAGCGCGTTCGAACGATTTCGACATGCGCGCGAAGCCCGTTTGGTAGCATTTCCTTGAAAGTGTTGAAAACTAATGTTTCCATTAAGATTTCGTCAAAACGCGCACACTTGTGTTGAAATTCCGTGTTGCGAAACCCTATGTTGTTTTAAATGTTTTTGGACATTCGATTTTGAATTCATTCCAAAACCGACGGCACTTGAAGGATTTCGGCATGCGCGCGCGGCGACGCGCGCGTGTGCACTTCGTGTATTCTGTTGTAAGCAATTTTTCAATGAACACATTAGGGTTTTTGATAAACGAGTGCGCGCGCATATTATTGGTGGCATGCAGAAGATGGCTGGGGGGATCGATACCGGCCTGGCTGGGATAGTATGAATTCACAAGTAGGATGGACATTGGGTCAGAATCATGCGTTGTACATCGGTTCGCGGGGGGTGGATAAGTCCGGAAGGGGGGATGGTATAACCTATCTTTTGTTTTAGAAAAAATGAATGTTATGCAAGATGTGCGGTGAAATCTATCCGGTGCAATTCGTTGTGACTGTCTTGACACTGTTCTCCACTGCTCGTGCAAACATCCCAACACTCCCACCCGCAACTTGCCCGCATGAGTTTTTCAGACAGTGACGGTGGGTGCCATTTGGCAGTTGGCGACGACAGCGACGCCGACGACGACAGCGACAACGACGACGACGACGACGACAACGTCGCCAACGACGACTACGACGACACCGACGACGTCTCCGGCGACGCCGAAGCCGACGATAACGACGACGACGACGACGACGACGACGGCGACACCGACAACGACGACGACGCCGACGACGAACCCGACGACGACGGCGGCGACGACGACGCCGACGACAAGGACGACGACGACGACGGCGACGGCGACGCCGACGACGACGACGCCGACGCAGACGACGGCGACGACGACGACGACGAAGACGACGACGACGACGTCACCAACGAAAACGACGACGACGAGGGAGGAGGGCGGACGACCACGGCGACAACGACAACAACGACGAGGGAGGACGGCGACGACGCGAACGACGAAAGTGGGAGGACGGCGACACCGACGACGACAACGACGAGGGAGGAGGGAAGACGATGACGACGACGACGGCGACGACAACGGAGACGAAATAGGAGGGACGACTACGAGACGCCGAAGACGGACGGCGACGACGACGAGGGAGGAGGAAGGACGACCACGGCGACAACGACGACGGAAACGACGACGACGCCAAAGAGGACGACGACGACGACGACGAGGAAAAACAGAGGACGACGACGGCGACGACGACGACGACGATGAGGGAAGAGGGAGGACGGTGACGACGACGACGACGACGATGCAGGTGTGCGGGCGCACGCTTTTGTTGAATCTGCTTGTTGCGAAACCCTGCAATTTTTGAATGTTGTTTGGACACTCGATTTTGAAATCCCTTCGGCAACCGAATGTTTTCGAAGGATTTCGGCATGCGCGCGACGACGCGCGCGTGTGCACTCCGTCCAGTGTTTTGCAAAGGATTTTCGCGACGGCACGCGCGCAAGATCGTTCGAACGATTTCGACATGGGCGCGCGAAATCCGTTGGGCATAAGTTCTTGAAAATCTTGAACAACTGATGAATTTCTTAAGATTTCGCAATAACGCCCGTGTAAGCTTTGTGAACAATTCAGTGTTGCGGAAGTTTTTTTTTTTTCTCGTATGTTGTTTTGGAAACGCGATTTCGGAACCGCTCCGAAACCGAAGGTGGCTGAATTTCGGCATGCCGGCGCGACGGCAACCTATGATTTTTAATCAACGAATGTTGCGCGCATAACATTTTTTGCACATATTTAGGATGGACATTGACATTGGGTCAACATCCTATGTATTTTGCATCGGTTCCCGGTGAAAAGGATAACCCCGGGGGGGGCTAGAACCGATCCTCTTCAAAGAAAGGGGAATTAATTTTTGTGCGCAGTAAGTTGGCACTTCCACTGTTCGCGCAATCGTCCCACCCACCCACCTGCAACTTGGTTGGCAAAACTCATGCGGAAGCGATTGCGATGAGTGCTTGGTGTTGGCTGGTGCA